CTCCTGGATAAAACCTAATAATTTCACATCACGTACGTCATTACACGAGATTGACTAGACACTATTTAAGACTGATTCCTAATAATAGAGCTTATAAAGTCGAACTCAAAAAGCGTTCTCCAACAAATTCCTTCAAGACTTTTTCTGCTTCAGTAAATCAATGTAAGCTTTGAAGGCGACAACAGACGTCTTGTCAAAGTATTCTTATTAATAAATACCATCCAAATTTCCATAGCAATATAGGCATCAAAAGGAGAACACCCACTACTTTACTAACTTGTCTACACTAATATTATAAAGAGGAAAACTTTGTTTGTTTGTTTGGTTGTAATGAATAGGCTCAAAAACTACTGGACCGTTTTTAAAAATTCTTTCACCATTCGAAAACTACATTATCCACGAGTAACATAGGCTAAATTTTATTTTGGAAAAAAATAGGATTCCGTAAAATATGTAGATAATGTAGTCCACGCGCGCGAAGCCGCGGGCGGAAAGCTAGTAGTAAATAAAGAAATCTTGTATTTGTATCAAGTTTTCCCGACTTTAAAATATTGCTGAATTTTTTTAGTCTAGTGAATTTTTTTTAGTAAAGGGGGAAGAAGAAAGATGAAAACCTTTAATTAAACTCACATTCTAGACAAGTCCGCGAAAAATCAGAACTAACAGATTTAATGTAGTTTCTGTTGTATAAAGTGTACTATTTTGAATTTATCTTCTTTTAAGAACCTATTCATATCATAATGGTAGCAGGCACTGGCCGCAAGTCGCTACCAACCAGGCATCATTGAAAGCATTGGGGGAGGCCTATTTTCAGCAGTGGACGTCCAATCAATCAAAATCAAAATCAAAATCAAAAATATTTATTCAGTTTAGACCACAAGTGGCACTTATGAACGTCAATAGAAAATAATAAAAAAAAGAAAAGGTAGCCCTTATGGGGCACTTTACATGTCTCCTTATCTTTTGGGCCCTACCAGCGCTTCGAGACAAACATATGGCAAGTGCTGAGAAGAAACGCCGGAACAAACTCAAATGGCTGAAATGATGATGATAATGATGATAAGAAGCTACTTTTCGTTCAACGAATAATTAAAAAAATCATGCCAAAAATGGTTAGCCAATTTATTACGGCAAACATCTGCTGACTGAAAATTGTCGAGACTCGCCCAATCTCACATACACCCGAATGTTTCCCCAATAAATCCTGCCAAGACAATTCTTCGGCAACAAACCAATTGCAAGCGTTGAGTCGAGACAAATGGCGTGATTAGCATTCTCGCCACCCCCTAAACGGGCGTTAAATAAAGAGGGAGGGATAGTTGGCCAGCTGACGATGTCTCTCTTAAACCGAGAACATTTAATTATTCCTTTCAGTGCTCTTTCTGGGGCGATTCTCGAACTGCTTTTTGTTATATGTCTTTCAAAATTTCTATTGCATCAGCTCTCTTTGATGTTTAATTAATATCCACTATCTAGTTAAATTGTGTTACAAATACGTCACTAAAAGCGTGTTTTCTTTTAAAATAGGCTTTTAAATATTGAAATAAAACACTTAAGTCGGGTGGCACCATCTTACTTTAACAATAACAAACGTCAAAAATATCCACACAAAAACACCGGTTAAGGTTATAATTACGGTTGAAGTAAGATGGTGCAACTCATTTTTATATACATTTTTTCCTAAAATGCAACTATCGCCCGTATTCACGAACATTACTATGAGGTCTCACAGTGCGCGTGGATGCACAGGGTGATACATGAACCAATCACAGAGCTCTGTGGGCGTTAGACTTTTAATTTATACTCGTAAATGTTTCAAATTCTAAATCATACAAAAAAGCTCCAAATCCACCTAAACTCTGAGAAACTCCGAAAGCTTGTCGTGGGTCTGAACCGGAAATGCGAAGCGGAAACCGTACCCCGGAAGGACGAACAAACATCAATACCCCCTTTGTTTAATAAGTAAATGACTTCAAAGAGTCGTCAGCGCTCGGGAAATCCTTTGATATATCGGGTCGTTAGTCAGACCATCTCCTTCTAGCCGATTCAGGTTGTTAATCGAGCTATTTGTCACCATCGCGTATCTTACGATTCGAGTTTCTCGAACGATTTCCGAAGAAATTGTGTTGAAAGAAATATTTCTTTGGTTGTTTGATATTGATTCTGTTTTGAAGTCATATCTGTAATGTTTAACATGACTTTTATAATGTTGTAAGTTTACTTTATTAGCCTGCAACATCTTACTTTTATTACATCATCATTATCATTTCAGCCACAGGACGTCCACCTGAACATAGGGCTCCCCCAATGACTTCCACATCGCACGGTTGGTAGCGGCCTGCATCCAGCGCCTTCCTGCTACCTTTATCAGGTCGTTGGTCCACCTTGTGGGTGGACGTCCCACGCTGCGTTTTCCAGTTCGTGGCCACCACTCCAGAAAACGTCATCTTTACTACAACAAACGTCAAAATTCTGTCAAAAGTCTATCAATCACAGGTTAAGTAAGATGGTGTAACTCAGCCTTACTTTATTTATACTCGTAGTAAAACTATTAACGAAGCTTCTTATTACTAAAGAGGATGTAGTTGAAGCTAGAAATATCGCTGAATAAATGTAAATATTTATCTTTTCTTTACAAAGGAGAGATAGATAATTTGCCTCATTTCAAATGCATTACTTTTGTAATTAAGGCAGTTCTTGTATATCAAACAAAAGCCAATTTTGTTACAATTCTATGAATTGTACGAGTATACATAAAATAATATTGTTTTAATTAAGAAGCAAAATGTCCGTCTTTGTAGCAATTAGTACCTTTAAATTATTTAGTAAATATTACATAGTTTGCTTAGTAATATTTTTCAATGGTATTACTAATGTTCTTAATAGAGTTAAATCAATACATTTGAACACACTAAGAACTACGGATTACCAAAAAATACTAGTAGCAACATTGAAGATTATAGTCCCCGATAATTAATTTGGCACTTTTATTACTGGGCTTACGTTATCGTAAAATCATATTATAAAAAATGATAATCAAGGTCCCAGTGTTTCCAACATTAATGAATTATCAAGTAAAAGATTGGTTTAAATAAATACATTAACAATCCAAAGCTATTTCAGCCAGTAAAGAAATTTCTCAAGGAAGCTACGTAGTATATTTTTTCCTTTTTGCTTCCTCAGCATAACTACTTAATGATATACCAAGAAACTAATTTCTAAGGACTCGTTCATACGAACGCGGAGCTTAACGCGGGACTGAAGTATGGTTTAGGAAATGAAAAATGCAGGCATTTAAGACCCATCGTTTATCCTTTCTAGGAATGAAACTGTTCTGGGTTTCTTAGAAAGGTACTGTGCATAATGCTACACCTATTTATTTATCACAGCAAACCTACCAGAGGTGGAATTGTGTAAAGCAATCGTTATCATTTGACAGTTCATAACGTATGATTATTCTGTCAAACGCTTTGTATAATCGACTTTATCGTACGTTATGAACTGTCAAATGATAACGATTGCTTTACACAATTCCACCTCAGATCAGGAATTAATTTCTGATGACGATGTTTTTCTGACAGAATTGGTAGCGCACCGGGTTCCACTTACGCTTATTTGTATCAAATCATACAAATACAATTCATAAAATTTTGAGTTAAGCTCTATGATGACGTGTCGTCTGTACAATGTATACTAATATTATAAATGCGAAAGTAACCCTGTCTCTGTGTCTGTCTGTCTCGTTTTCACGCTTAAACCACTGAAAAGATTTTGATGAAATTTGGTATACAGACAGTTTGAGTCCCGGGAAAGGACATAGGATAGTTTTTATTCCGGTTTTTGAAGCAGGGACGCGCGCGATAAAGTTTTTCTGTGACAGACAAAATTCCACGCGGGCGAAGCCGCGGGCGGAAAGCTAGTCAGTGATAAATAGTTCGTCACACCAAAGGTAAAAATTTGACAACACATTCCAATTGTAATAAGGACGTGTTGCGAACTTATTGGCTACTTTCGGTATCACTACGAGTATTTGACGAATTAAACCCATTGATACTCTACACGTCCTGCACCGAACTCCGCATCAAGTTTCGCCAGTGTGAACTTACCCTAAAATGCTAAGCACCGAAATTTATGGCCACTTTGCTATCAACCTTCGTGCCGGTCTCTCGTTCATAACTGTAGTTGTTAACGATCAATCGAAGTGTAATGATACGTGTTCGGTGCCGCTTAACTATTCAACCTTGGCACAATTAAGTAATGACGGTAGACGTGATTTATGTCAGGTAGGTTAACGTAACGTTTAAGTAGCCTGTGGTTTGGATTTTGTTCCAGATGTCTTTATTCTGGAGTAAAACATGACGGGACAAATTAAAGTTTTCTGACAGGAAATACAAGCGATCAATTATCGTCATACTCGTGGTATTCATAAAATTCCCAAGAATATTAATTTAACTATTGTAAAAAATAACTTTACTGACCTATTTTTCATCTCTTTCAAGCATGACCTATAGCAATTCGCCCTCGCTATGAAAGTTACGTATCTCAGAATACGAATAACTCGTACATAACCTTCGTCAATTAGGTACTATGTATAACTCAAAGGTGACTGACTGACTGATTGAATGACTGACAGACTGAATGACTGACTGACTGAAATAGTGATCTATCAACGCACAGCCCAAACCACTGGACGGATCGGGTTGAAAGGCATCCGCTAAGAAAGAATTTTACGAAACTCCACCCCTAAGGAGGTAAAACGGGATCCACACGTACGAAGTCGCGGGCGGCCGCTAGTTATTAAATAAATGTTTGCTCTGGTTATTTGTTAAAAAAATATTTTTGTTCTTTTTCATATATTTTCAGGTCTCATCTCAGCTTTATCTTTCATCTACGAATCCAAAAGTCATTAACCTAATCTTTATTCCCACAACTATAATGTCTGTCCCACGCGTCAACGTCAACTTAACCTCAGGTCTAAATTTAACCGATATTGTTGGCAGGTCTCCGACCGCCGCCGAGTGTCATGGCGGAGTCTCTAGACGCCGTGAAGGTGTCAGCGGTATCTGGCGGCGAGGCGACACTGCCCTGTGACACTCGCTCGCCGCAGCCCACAGACGTGTTGCTGCTAGTCGTGTGGTATAAGGACGACGTGCCTATTTACAGGTAAGACTGTAACTATGTAATGTAATTGTAAATAATTTTTATGTAAGTTACTATTACTGACCCCGATAGTTGAAAGTGAGTGCGCATCTAACACCGAATGAAAACGGAGACAAAAAGTTTCCAATATGAGATTTTGAAATTTCACGTTCCATTTCAACTACGAGGGCCGGCTGAAAAGATTGAGCCTAGGGTATTAAAAATGCCGATAGAAAAGTATAAAAAATATATTTTCCTACTTTATCTCCCTCTACTATACACCGCCTCCATTTCTTTGTCGCTCAAAAATCTTAGTTCCTGAAGGTCTTTTTTCCAATTTTAGAATTAGACAAAATAGTTAGGGATTCGGACTAAACTGTGTAGTGGGTGATTAATTTCCTGAACACTAATTTTACCCGAGGCAAGCGATGCAACATGCGCGATGTACGCGGGCGAATTATCTTGCAATAACAGATTTCCTTTCGCCAGTTTGCCTCTCAATATTTCAACAACCACTTGACGCACTCTTATCAACAGTACAGCATAATAATCTCCGTTTAATGTAGTTTTTTTTAAATATGGTCAATGAATAAAATTCTTCCACAATCCCAAAAATAGTGGCTATGAGCTTGGGTGTCGATCGCTCCACTTTGAATTTCCGCGGCGGCGTTTTCCCTTTTAAATCCATTGCATTGACTCTTATTTTGACTCTACATCATACTGCCGGATCTATTTCTTATCAATAGTGGCAATGTGAGAAAAAAAAATTGTTAGAATTATGGCCAAAGATGTCCTAAAACTCCTGCGAAGTTGTGACTCGACACTGGTTGTCGAGCGGCGTGAGCATTTTTGGCACCCATCGCGCGCACCCCTATTTAATGTGCAAATGAGTATGAAAAATATCGCCAATACGTTCTCTGCTAATGCCTATGGCTTCAGCTATCTGTCACAGCTTAATTCGCTGATCTCTAAAGCAAGATTCATTAAATTTTCATTATTTTATTCGTTAATGGCGAAATCCGGCCGCCCTGACTTGCGGTCATCTTTTAGCGACTCCCTGCCATGCTTGAACTATCGGATCCAATCTTTCATGATGGCAAATGAAGGCCCAGACTCCCTATAAACTGTAAACATCTCATCAAATGTTACCATCAGCGTTTTGTTCCTCTTTTTGAGGAATTTTATGACAGCTGTGTACTTCAATTTCGTACATTGCGCGGATGACTGAGACATGATGATGTTTACGGATTAATTACTAAAAGCGTGATGACGCTAATGAAATGAAACTTTGTACATATACTAAGGAGGTTATTGGCAAATTAATTAAACTTAGCCCGAGTCAATAATAACACTTGAAGATACTTGGGCTCAAAACTTTTCAGCCGCCCCTCGTAAAACAGAAAGACACGGGATTTGAGATACCACTTATTTTATTGCAATGCAAGTGCTTTTTAGCAAATTAGCCTTGTTAGGAGAGGTTCATAATGGACTTATTTTTGTCTATACTTAGTATTAATTTCAATAAGCCGATTGTTGTGTAAACTTGTTAGGATTATATTGCTAAAGTGTTATAAAGGGGTTTTACTCAGGTAGGTACGAAACTACGGGCGTTGTATTCTGTCTAACGGATATAATTTTAAGATGAACGTACAAAAATTGCCTAGATACAATTTTTTTTCTTTATAGTACTATAATCTTTATGACAACGTTGATTGTAGGGGCCTCGACCGGGAATTGATGAAATGAAGAACGTAGTGGACTGTATTACAGGTTTATTGAGACTACGTTAAACACAGTTTGGTTGGCAATTATAAGCAAGGGAGCGCGCGTGGTGTCTGCGGTGGCGTGAGGTGAAGTGAGCGGCCGATCGCCGCGGGTGCCGCGCGCCCGCGCCTCTGGGCCGAGAGCAGCCGAGGGCAGCCGAAGGTGCTCGAACATCCTCCCCGGGTTGACCTCTTCGGGAAGTAGGGAAGTGGTTAAAGGTCCTCTTCTTGGTCCGTGAAGTCGTCCATCCAGTCGCTGAAGAAAGCAAGTTACTCATGAGTGAGATCGATTCCAGAAGTGCTGCCTGATGCGTTGAACTCGTTGAAGCGCTGCAGTCGAGTCACGTAGACGTCAGTCACCTGTGGATGCGGAATTGACATGAGTGGTCGTCCAATTAGAAGATGGGAAGGATCAAGGCGAAATAATTGAATGGACCAGAGGATAGAGGAATAGGAGAATGAACTTTAAAGAGAAAATTGTATTGCCTCTATACTATCAAAGTTAAATGAATGATTTAAAATAAAATGAAGTTAATTAAGGTTAGAATGTAAGTACAAAATTTAGACAATGGCTAGACCATGGAAGGGACAAAGTAAATCTGATGCCTTGACAAGAAAGCTAACTAAGTATGCAATATGGCTTTCTAGTAAGAAGTTACGTAGCTTGTTATTGGAACCGACAAAATTGATGCTGTAGTTGTACAGAATGCTCTTGGGTTTGCCCTGAAGAGCCACGACTCGGTTTAGAAACAGCAGTGTAACGAACTCGGCGTGCACGGTTTTAACTGCAAAACAGACAAAGGTACACAATTAAAACTTTATAAGCTTACATATTTACTTTTCGATAGGTATGAATACTGGCCTAGCATGAAGTAAGATAATCGATTTTACTAATTATATTATAGGCGTTGTAAAACTAAATTAAGAAGTAATAATAATGCACTGATACAAAGTCGTGCGGAGGGAGACCGAGCCTTCCGCCTACACGGATGACAACGTCATCATTTATATTGCCTGAGAGACTAGACAACTCAAAGATAATTGTAAGTTGTAAATAAGTTAGTATTTAAGTTGAATGTATAATAAATATTTTAAGAGTATCTAAATCTTGCTATAAATAAATTAATTGTAATTATTTTGATATGTTGAAATTAAATGTTACAAATTGTGAATACTATGGAAATGGGAATATTATGCAATGTTTCACGTTATTCTCGGGCATTTTTGAATACGAGTGTTAGGCCGTGAGCACATAGAACACTCGCTGATAAGGTCAGCCTGCAGCCCGCGAGAAAAATGATCAGCTGGATTGCTCATAGACGGTGTGTAGGTCCACCGTGTGCTTGGAGGTGCTTTTCTATGTTTCAAAGCTCGTTCCTCCTGCGATGAAAAATTAGATGAATATGATTTAGATTGCGACAACAAACAAAGGTGAAAATTAGATTCAATTGTGGAAAAATTACAAAAATGTGAAAGCTTTGAGGACGATGGACGTGATTGAAGAGCCACAACAGGGCCTGACACAATCCACCCTAGCTTTGTGTCATAAAACTTGGGCTGATTTTTGCCTAGGTCAATAGAAGCGTGACCTATGACGCTCCAAAATATTTCAGCGCCAACTAAGATGTCGATGGCTGACGGAATATGAAAGGAAGGGTCAGCTAGATGTATATTTGATGGAATTTGGATTTTAGTTGTATCAATTACTGATAACGGCAATGGTTTTGTGATCTGAGGCAGTATGAAACAGTCGATCTCTGCTTTGTAGTCGCCGTTATTTGACTCGATGACTAAGTTACAGGACTGTGTGCTAGTGGAACTCTGACTATTTATACCTGTCACCGTGGAGCTCGCACTACGTCTAGGCAATCGCAGTCTGTCACAAAATGAACTCGTAATAAAGTTGGCTGTGCTACCGTTATCCAGCAGTATTCTTGCGTCGACCTTCTTGCCCTCGCTGACCACTTTCACCAACGCTGTGGAAAGCAAAATATGCGAAGATGTAGTATGATGTACAGTAGAAGTGTCACTAGCTAAGACTACATTATCTGGCGTGCAAGTAGGTAAAGAGGCACCTCCAGAAAGGCTAGTTGGTAAGGCAACACTACTAGGCATGGGGTCTTGGTAAGAAGTAGGTTTAGGCTTGTCAACATGCAAAAGCGTATTATGTTTGCCTTTACAGNGCTCGAACATCCTCCCCGGGTTGACCTCTTCAGGCAAGAGGAAGTGGGCAAAGATTGTTGAAAGCCCGCAGGATTGTCCCCCTCTTAGTCTTTAATTCGGCGACACGTGTGGTTCCGTCGCTGCCCGGGAAGACTTGCGTGATACGACCTAGTGGCCATAGAAGTGGCGGTTGTCCCTTCTCTTTGACAAGCACCAATGTCCCCACTGCTAGTGGCTGCCCTGTCGAAGTCGTCCACTTTGTTTTCAGCTGTAGCAGAGAAACATACTCCAGATAAAATCTGTTCCAGAAGTGTTGTTTGACATGTTGTACTCGTTGATAGCGCTCCAGTCGAGTCACGTTGGTGTCAGTCACCTGTGGATGGGGAACAGACATAAGTGGTCGTCCAATTAGAAAATGAGAAGGAGTAAGGGCAGAGAAGTCTAATGGATCAGAGGAAATTGGGGTGAGAGGACGTGAATTTAGTACTGCCTCTATCTGAGTCAAACAAGTGGCCATTTCCTCAAATGTGAAATGCGTAAGTTGTAGCAATCGTTTTAAATGATGCTTTGTTGAACGAACGGCCGCTTCTGCGATGCCGTTAAAATGTGGAGTATATGGAGGGGAAAAAGTAAATTCGATGCCCTGCTGGTTTACATCATATGCGAGATCTGATTCTAAAAGGAAGTTGTGAAGGTCGTTACTTGCACCGACAAAATTGGTGCCGTTGTCGGACAGGATGCTCCGGGGCTTGCCCCGACGAGCCACGAAACGGTTCAGAGCCGCTAAGTACGCCTCTTTCGTCAAGTCGGTAACGAGCTCGATGTGCACGGCTTTAACTGCAAGACAGACAAAGATACACAGATAAGATTTTATAAGCTTACACCCTCGTCCTTTTCGGTCAGCTATAAACACAGGCCCAGCATAATCGACACTACAGTTTAAAAAGGGGAACTCTAATTCGGTTCTAGCAGTAGGTAATTGACCCATAGTTGGTTGCGTGTTTGAGGCTTTGTATCTGAAACATTTAATACATTGACGTACAATTAATTTGGAAAGGTTTCTGCCACCTAGAGGCCAATATGATTGTCGAATGTTTGCTAGCAATGATTGAGGGCCAGCATGCAATAGATCTAAATGAAATTTAACAAATATAAGTTTAGTTAAGTGATGTCTGCTACATAATAATGTAGGATGCTTAACATTGTAGTCATATGGAGAATTATCTAGCCTCCCGCCTACACGAATGACGTCATCATCACCTATAAATGGGCTAAGGGAAACAAGTCGATTCTTTCGAGGGAGTGATTTTCCTGATTTTAACATTGTATATTCTTGGGGAAACATTTCCATTTGAGCGGTATGTATCAAAATCTTCAATGAATCATTCATCTCACCAATAGTAAGAGAATCAGTGATTTTATTTTCTTTATTTTTTAAGTTGTAAATAAATCTTCGTACATAGGCCATAATTCTTTGCAATTTATTTAAATTAGAATATTTATGAATTAATCTTGTTATGACTGAATTATTATGCGATTGATGTAATGAAATTAAATGACTATTCGAATCTGATTCATCGATGACCTGATTTGAGACTATTTCAGGTAGATCCTGTTTCACTTGCACATTGGGCATCTTGGGCCAATGCGTTTGGTGTTTTGTTAAGAATTGAGGTCCTGACCACCACAAGGAACACTCGCTGATAAGATCAGCCTTCAGCCCGCGAGAAACAAGATCCGCCGGATTGTCCTTAGACGGTACGTAGCTCCACGTGTGTCCGGTGGTGCTTTCTTGTATTTCATCAACACGATGACGTACAAATGGTTTAAGCATATTAGGTGACATAGCTATCCAACAGAGCACTATTGTCGAATCGCACCAATAATAGCACTCATGAATTGGCATGGTGAGTGAACTCATTACTTTAGTACACAGTCTCGTACCTAACAGAGCTCCACATAGCTCTAGACGTGGTATAGTCGTAGGCTTGATTGGTGCCACACGATTCTTGGAGACTAGTAGTTGAACTCTAGCTGATCCCTGACCATCTACCGAACGGACATAAATGCATGCACCGTAGGCTCTTTCAGATGCGTCTGTAAAGACATGAATTTCATGTTTTATCGACTCATCGCATGATATCCAACGCGGAATTATTAATGTGTTAAGATTTGTTAAAGTGTCAATAAACGAAAGCCACAAATCACCCATCTCTTGTGACACATTATCGTCCCAATCACACCTTGCAACCCATAACTTTTGCATGAGGATTTTAGCCCCTACAACACATGGACCAACTAAACCGAGGGGATCAAAAATTTGGCTAATGACAGATAAAATGTTGCGTTTAGTAATAGGTTTGTTGATGTCAATATTAATAGAGAAAGATAAGGAATCGGAATCACATAACCAGTGTAGACCTAAAGTTTTTGAAGACACGTTTTTGTTTTCAGATAGATTCAGAGTATTTGAAACTTCAGATGAATTTGTGATTTGTGCTAGAACTTCTGGGCTATTGGACTGCCATTTTCTCAAATGAAAATTAGCTGACGCAAGAATGGATATTACGTCCTTACCTAGTTCCACCACACCAGCAATAGAATTTCCTCCACTTAAGTAGTCATCGACGTAGAAGTCGCGTTCGATGGATGACTTGACTGCTTCGCTGGTGGCAGTGGCTGCTAGACTAACTAGGCACTTTGTGGCTAGGTAAGGAGCGGATGCTGTGCCATACGTAACAGTATTGAGACTGTACGTTTTCAAGGGATGTTTGGGGTCAGCACGAAATATTATTTGTTGCAAGGAACGTTGTGAATTCGTGACGTCAATGGCTCTGTACATCTTCTCGATGTCTCCAGAGATGACATATTTGTGCTGACGGAAGCGAAGTAAGATGGAAAGAAGATCGTCCTGGACAGTTGGACCTACCATTAGGATGTCGTTCAACGATACACCTGATGTGGTTGCAGCTGAGGCATCGAAGACTACTCGGAGTTTTGTTGTTGTACTAGACTCTTTGATGACCCCATGATGAGGCAAAAAATAATTACCATTGGAAAGTGGTCTACCTGGCGGGCAATTTTCAGTCATGTGACCCAAATCCTCATATTCCCGCATGAAGGCGATATACCTGTCTCTAAATCCTGGGTCACGCTGGAATCGACGTTCCAATGATAAAAAACGTCGTTTGGCCATCTCGTACGAGTCGCCAAGAGCAGCTGGACTGTCCTTCAAAGGCAAAGTAACAACAAACCGTCCACTGCCATCCCGAGTTGTGTTGGCATGAAAGCTATTTTCACAAGCTCGCTCTTCCTGCGACAAGTAATGCTTAGGCGAAATTGAGTCAAGTTCCCAGAACTTACATACATTAGCATTCAGTTCACTGGAGGAAAAATTACATGAATGTGACTGCTTTGGGGATGATGGATGTGAATTAAGAGCCACAGCGGGGCCTGACACTATCCACCCTAGTTTTGTATCACATAATTTGGGCTGATTTTTTCCTAAATTAATGCATGCGTTACCTAGGACGCTCCAAAATATTTCCGCGCCGACTAAAATATCTATGGCTGACGGAATGTGAAAGCACGGGTCAGCTAGTATTATGCTTGATGGTATTGGAATTTTAGCTATATCAATAAGTGAAGACGGCAAAGTTTTTGTGATCTCGGGTAGTATAAAACAATTGATCTCTGCCTTATAGTTGCCATCAAACGATTCCATAACCAAATTACAGGACTGTGTACTAATAGAACTCTGACTGTTTATACCTGTCACCGTGGAGCTCGCACTACGTCTAGGTAATCGCAGTCTGTCGCAAAAGGAACTGGTAATAAAGTTAGCTGTGCTACCGTTATCCAGCAGTATCCTTGCGTCGAACCTCTTGCCCTCGCTGACCACTTTCACCAACGCTGTGGACAGCAAAATATGCGAAGATGTAGCATGATGTATGGTAGTAGTGTCACTAGATAGGACTACATTATCTGGCGTACAAGTAGGTAAAGTGGCACCTCCAGAAATGCTAGTTGGTAAGGCAACACTACTAGGCATAGGATCTTGGTAAGAAGTAGGTTTAGGCTTGTCAACATGCAGAAGCGTATTATGTTTGCCTTTACAGTATTTGCAATGCGACAATCTACATCGATTAGTTAAATGACCCGGACGTAAACAATTAAAACAAAGTTTGAAATCCTTTACTTTAACAATTCGTTTTTCAATAGGTAAGTTCCGAAAATTTTCACATGTGTAAAGTGGATGATTATTAGTACATAATGGACATTTAATTTTTTCTATAAATTTTTGATTTTGTGAATTATTTTGTATGTTTTGATCTAGATTGTCGCTGTTAGTATTAGTTGCAACTATAAAGCTCTTAGGTTTAGGTTGTAATTTGTTAGTCTGATTTAATTTATCTTCAATTGTTTCTAGTAAATCAGCCTTATTACAAATGAAATTACAAAATTGCGACAAAGATGGGGAATTAGGTAGGGTGCTACGATATTCCTCCCAGTTTCTACTTGTTACTACATCCAATTTGTTTGACATNGGCTAGTTGGTAAGGCAACACTACTAGGCATGGGGTCTTGGTAAGAAGTAGGTTTAGGCTTGTCAACATGCAAAAGCGTATTATGTTTGCCTTTACAGTATTTGCAATGCGACAATCTACATCGATTAGTTAAGTGACCCGGACGTAAACAATTAAAACAAAGAATGAATTCTTTTACTTTAGTAATTCGTGTATCAATAGGGAAGTTACGAAAATTTTCACATGTATATAAAAGATGATTTTTAGCACATAAAGGACATTTTATTTTTTCTATTTGATTTTGTGAATTAATTTGTGAATTTTGATTTAGATTGTCGCTGTTATAATTATTAGTTGCAACTATAAAGCATTTAGGTTTTGATTCTAAGTTAGTTTGATTAAGTTTTTCTTCAATAGTCTCCAGTAAATCGGCTTTATTACTAATGTAGTTACAAAATTGAGACAATGATGGGGATTTAGGTAAGGTGCTACGATATTCCTCCCAATTTCGACTAGTTACAGTATCTAATTTGTTCGACATTTTGACATCATGTAGACAATAAGCGTGTCCCAATACTCCGTGGGCTCGTTCAATGTTTTTAACGCTCTAATGTTTTTATTAATAGTGTCAACAAGATGACGCAATGATGCACTGGACTCTTTAGTCACGTTGCCAACATTGAACAGTGCCTGCACGTGATTATTCACTAGAAGCCTACTGTTATTATAGCGCTCACACAATAAATTCCACGCCATTTCATAATTGTCACTTTTAAAGTCAATGTTTTTAATTATTTCGAGTGCATTTCCTTGAAGTGATGCACGTAGGTAGTGGAATTTACTGATATTGTCAATACTACTGCTATTGTGAATTAGTGACAAAAACGTATCTCTATACTCAAGCCAGCACTGATAACTACCATTAAAATTAGGCAAATCAATTTTNAGCAGGGATGCACGTAGGTAGTGGAATTTACTAATGTTGTCAATACTACTGCTATTGTGAATTAGTGACAAAAACGTATATCTATACTCAAGCCAGCACTGATAATTAATGATTAAACGAACTTACCTTATGTGAAGTTCAATCATAATTATACGAAGGCTTCGTCCGAAGAGATTAGCATATAAACAACATGTAGTATCGCGTAGCGGGTCGCCATATACGCACAATTTTGAGAGTACTTAAAAAAAAAAGAAAATTAAATTATTAAAATTTTCTGAGGGTAGTTGTAAGTACAACCTCTGCCTTTTACTTCCATCTTCGCGTCATTTAATTTAGAGCTTAGATAAGTATTATTTTGCGACGTTTTTGGGGTAGATAACGGGAGGGAGGGATGCTAATCTCTTCGGACGAAGCCTTCGTATAATTATGATTGAACTTCACATAAGGTAAGTTCGTTTAATCATTAATTATACTCGGCTTCGTCCTCGAGATTAGCATATAAACAACATGTAGACTTTTAGAGCAATGTCGCAAAATAAGTAAGTGTTTGAAAAAGAAAAAATAATAATAAATGAGAGCTGGTTAATTATGTATTTTAATAATTACTATAACATACATTATTATATGTATAGCAGCATACTCTGATGTTCAACATTATTAATACTTAACAGATTAAGACTTAACAGAATTACATTCTTTTAATTTAATTTATAATTAATGACGATCAAATTATGAATCACCAGAAGAGTTATTATTCATAATAGCTCTAGCAAAAGAAGCATTATTATGATTTGCTATAGGCCGATTATAATATTTGAAAAACGTACTGGAGGATCCACTCCACCCAGCAGTTTTCCTGATAGTATCCAGGCTAACGCCCATTCTGTGCGCTGCAGATGCGGCAGCGTGTCGCGTGCTGTGCGCACAGAACAACGACACGTCAATCCCACTTTCACTCAAAACATTTTTAATCCAACGACTCAACGTTTGGGTCGTAACTGTTTTATAGGGCCTTTTGAAACTAATAAAAAGACTTTTGTCATTTTTGCGGAGTGATTTGGTTTTATCCAGGTAGGTAATAAGAGTCTTTCCGGGACATATTTGTATTCGATCAGTAAAAAACGGGAGTATTAATACAGGCTGCATTGACCCCACACGGGATGTTTTTAACAGGTCTGGTATTTTTATATTAATTTTGTCTGCAAATATTTCTATATTTTGAATTTGTATTTTGGAGAAAGTTTGAACTCTGTGGGCTGTGGCTAAAGCCAGTAATGTAATTAACTTTTTAGTGAGAACTTCTAATGATATATCTTCATTAGGATACCAATTTCCTAAGAAATCCAGTACAATTGACGTATCCCAAGTGATATTATAACGAGGCAATGGTGGCCGAAGACGAAAAACTCCTTTGAGGAATCTTTTGATTCTGTCATCATTGTTATTAACATTATTTAGTATGAGGGCCAATGCAGATCGACAAGTATTGAGTGTGCTATATTGAGCACCTTCATTGTACAATTTTGTGAGAAAATAAATCACGTTAGGGATTGACGCTTCGTGTATGCTAATATTACAATCATTGCAAAACTGATACCATCGTTTTAGATATACATCATATTGTCTAAACGAGTTACTAGATAGCGATGCTAACATTATATCGATCGCAGACGGAGGAATGCTTCTTTTTAACCACGCTGTCCTGATAAGACTCCTACCGCCAGGGTAAGTTTGGTGTGGATGTTGTGGTGACTGGAAGGACAAACAATTAGGTCATTGTCAGGTCTCAATATTAACGGATCAGACATCAAAAGCTTTTGAAATAATGGGTACCATGGCTGTGTCGGCCAGAGGGGAACAACCATAATACCCTTTGCTTTATCTGCTATAATTTTTCGCAATGTCTTTAAAATCATTGAAATTGGTGGGAACGCATAAAAGTAAAACTTAGTCCAAGATACTGTAAAAGCATTGACAGCATAACAATCGGGATTTCGATGCCAAGAAATATATTTCTTGCATTTTTTATTTATTCTGGACGCAAAAAGGTCAATGTCTGGTTTACCAAAAGTTAAAGTAATCTTTTGAAAAGCGCTCTTTTTAAGTTCCCACTCTATGTCTGGATGAATTCGTCTAGATTCTGCATCAGCCGTTGTGTTGTCTGATGACCGAATGTATGATGCAAAAACGTGCAATCCACGACATTCACACCATTGCCACAGCTGTTTAGTGACATCGGTAAGATGCGGAAATTGTATACCGCCCATGCGGTTTATAATGAGATGGCAGTCGTGTTGTCGATACGCAACAATATTGAACAATTGTTTAAATGTTTTGCAAAAATTTTGAGACCAATGAAAGCAGCCAAAATTTCCAGATAATTAATGTGTAAGCTTTTTTCGTGTTCACTCCACAACCCGCTTGCCGTCTCAACACCGCACGCTGCGCCCCACCCCGTTGTTGAGGCGTCTGAGAAAATTTCCAGGCAGTAGTTTTCAGTTTTGATTTTGTTTACAGAGTGTTGAATAGCGTATCGCCACCAACGTAGGTCTGATGCTAAGTATTCGGGTATATTCATGTAACTATCATAGTTATTTGTTTTTTGTAAATTTAAAAATTTTAACCGTTCAAAACTTTTTGTGTATAACCATCCATACTCGATAGCCGGACAACAAGAGACCAAAAGACCTACAAAACGTGCAAATTCTCTTATTTTGCAACGTTGTAATGAAATTATTTTATTAATCTCCGATAAAACCTTGTGTATTTTATCATTTGGTAAACTGACCTGGAAATTCTCTGAGTCGATTTTAAAACCTAAAAAAGTGCACGTTTTACTAGGCATAAGACAACTTTTTTCCTCGTTTATTAAAAAACCGAGCCCAGTGAGTAATTTTAAGGTATTATTGACATTGAATGAACATGTGTCATATGATTGGCCAATTAATAAATAGTCATCCAAATAAATAGTTGATAACAATCCAGCACAACGCAGAAGTCGTGCGGCCGGTTTCATTATTTTTGTGAATATGTAGGTACGGTGCTGTATTGAGACCAAATGGTAAAACGTTGATTCATATAAATTTTCTTCCCATTGAAAGCGTAAATACTTTTTTGAATCAGAATGCATTTTAATTAAAAAGTAGGCGTCTTTTAAATCAAGTTTTGCCATGTAACAGTCTGTGGAAATTAATTTTAATGCTGTTCTCAAATCTTCAAGTTTGAAATGCTGTGTATCAATGAATTTATTAAGGTTTTTTAAATTTAATATGAACCTCATTTTTCCATTTGGTTTCGGTATTAAAAAAATGTTGGATAGGAACTGGCCCTCACATGGGGCGCACTTAGATATAGCACCAACAGACAATAAATTATTTATGGCTTCATCAAAGTGAAGTTTTTCCGAACTAGAGTAGTTGGGAATTTTTGGAGGACATATTTGGTAAACTGGGGCATTGAAAGGTATTTTATAACCTTGTACGTATGACAGAACAATGTGATCTTGTGTTATCATTGCCCACTGATCATAATATAAAGATAATCTGCCAGCGTACTTTACCGGGTCTACCGTCGACTGCTGCTGCTGTACCGAGGCTGCGACTGCTTGAATGAGGTTGATGGCCGATTCTTCGGAGTAGCCGCTTCCTTCGTCTTCTGCGTCGCTGATGGCGGTGGTTTCTTGTTCGCAGGAACTTTCCAGTTTTTTGATGGACCTGGGGTTGACTTTTTAGAAGAAAATGTCTTAGGCGGAGGATTAGCTTTCAGCTCTGCTCCAGATTTGTTGATTGCTCTTGCAGCTTTTAATGTCTCTGTCAAATTATCTCCAAACAGGAAGCTATCTACCTTGGTATTCTGTAATTGTTCTTTCAATTCTTTTTTCAGGGAGGAAAGAATAAAATTACGCCTGGTAACTGAGTCGTTGTATTGACAATCGCATAGAATGCGACTTGTGTCCATGAGCGAACGTATTAAGTTCGTATTTTTGTCTTTGGAGGAAAAAATGGATGTCAATGCTTCGCTCAGACAAGATAAAGCAGTGGCCACCTGTTTTTGTCTTGATTCGATGTGTTTATCCCTCTTTGCAACTTGCTCGGTCAAGGCGGCCTTTATTTCAGGGTTAAGTTGCGGAGCATCGATAAACTTGCAGTTGCCCGGAGTGAGATATTTGTCGGATAATTCCTTCCGCATATCCTTAGACAATCCAGTCGTGGAATAATGCTGTAGTCGAATGGCCAAGTCATTGTTGATGTCTTTTCCAAATTTTATTTGGGTTGTGGGGTCATTACCCAAAATTTCAAGAATATCACTGTCTAGTGTTGGCTCCAAGGGCTCAACTATTGTATCTGAAGCACCACTAGTGCCCTGGACAGGTTCAATCAAGGCTGAAGTCTCTGCTTCGATTATATCGCCAGATTGTTCTGAACGATTTTGCGGAATTTCCGACGGCAATGCATCATCGGCGGTATCTAAATTCGGTATTTCTATCGACAAGTTCAAATCTGTAGGTGTTACGTCGCCTGAAAACAGACATTTGTAACGGTGAGTACCTTAATATTTAGTTAAAAAACAGTCCTAATATACTGTTCGC